CGAACCGTACCTGAGATATGAGGCCTTCCACACACTGAAAGCGAACTAACCTCTGGCATTTTTGCTTCTATTTATATAGAGGTTAGAAATTTATGACAAAACCTCATTAGTTAAAAGTAGCTCTCTAGACGGGCTATCGAAAACATCATTACAAGTGATTGCATATTTGGAACCGTTTTCGATCGAGATATGGGGCCTTTTAAACAGTGAAAGCGGCCTAAGTCTTGGCATTTTTGCTTCTATTTCTTTTGAGGATAGAAATTTATGATAAAACCTCATTAGCTAAAAGTAGCTCTCTAGACGGGCTATCGAAAACATCATTACAAGTGATTGCATATTTGGAACCGTTTCCTAGATATGGGGCCTTTTAAACAGTGAAGGAGGCCTACGTTTTGGCTTCTACCTTTTTGGAGGTTAGGAATTTCTGACGAAACGTAATTATTAAAAAGTAGTTGTCGAAGTCGGCTTTCAAACATGTCATTACAAGTGAATGCATATTGAGAACCGTTTCTGAGGTCTGTCTTTAAACATCGAAAGCGTCTAAAGTTTTCGCATTTTTGCTTCTATCTCTTTGGAAGTTAAGAACTTCTCATAAAACATAATTAGGAAAAATTAGCTCTTTATGCAGGCTAGCAAAACTGTCAGTACAAATGATTGCACATTTCGAATCATTTCTGAGATCATCTTTTAAACATCGAAAGCGGCCTACGTTTTGGCATATTGGCTTCCATTTCTTTGGAGGTTAAAAATTTCTAATGAAACTTAAATTGTTAAAAGTTGCTCTGTAGGCGGGCTATCAAATTGTCATTAGAAGTGATCATCACGATATGAAGTCAAAAACATCAAAAGCGGCTTAGGTTTTGTCACTTTTTGCTTCTATCTCTTTGGAGGTTAGGAATTTTTGATGAAACATTATTAGTAAAAAGTAGATCTCGAGACGGGCTATCAAAAATGTGATACAAGGAATCGTCTATTTCCAACCGTTTCTGAGATATGGAGCCTTCAAAGCATCAAAAGCTTCCAAGGTTTTGTCCCTTCTGCTTCTATTTCTTTGGAGGTTTGAAATCTCTGACGAAACGTAATTAGTAAAAATTAGTTCTGGAGTATGTTATATTAAGAACGGCAGAGATCAAGAGTCTAAGGTCAATAGCGGGAAAAACAATACGGGGTATAGTGAGGAGCGCAATAATAAGACAGACGTGCAAGGTGGATGATGCAATCAGATGGGGACAAAGTGCAGAAGATGCTGGCGGGACCATGTAGAAAGAATGGACCCCGAAAAAATAGCGAAGATTGTGTCTAATGGAAATAAACCAAAATAGTGATAACTGGAAATTATCTAAGGGGGTTATAAATAAAACCTATAGGCCTGAAACCAGCTTTCCTTGGAAGCGAGAAAAGCTACACTTCTAATAGAGAAACTTATCTGCATTCTGTAAAACTGCCGCTCCATTAGAAATAATCTCCGATCGTTCACGCGCTAAAAACGGAAGCAGCAAATCGAAATGAGTATTTTTTTAAATTCTTGCAACAGCGTCTTAAGACTAAACCCTGCCAATGTTACTCAACCTACTCAATTGGCAATTTTCCCCGATTTTTCACGCACTGAAAACAGCCAGTATTTCTGTCACGAAATATAAAGCCGTTAACTCTACCTCTTCAATCCCAATTAATCACTTTAAAGTTTCGATGGGCGTTGGACAAGCTGTTCGCATTAAAACTTTTTATGAAGTTTAATAATTTAATTTCCCCCCGAAAAGTTAAAGCCGGCTGAAAATCTAAGCGGTTCTTGTTGTGGCGTCAGTTAGAACAAATGCAATTATGTTCGTCTGTGTCTCCCGGGGGTCTTTGATTTCCGCCCTGGATGGCGACCGACCGTTCGGCCCTTTTCCGCCGACTTTATTAAAGCCATTCAAAAGTTCACTTTCCACTCTTGTGGGGAATGAAAAGACTGGCTGCCTCGCTGTTTATTGAGCGTCCTAAAAGATGCAACATCGAAACAGATGATCAAACTCATATCGGAGCGGCGGTAAATAAATGTTAATGCCACGTCGCTGACTTTGGTACGTTCCATGCGACTGATCGCGTATTACCGTTCCGCCTTGCTGGAATCATTCCAATAAATGTCGCAGCAAAGCTCAAGTTCGACTTTGTTAATTACTCCACTTGGATCGATACTTAATGGGCAAGAGAGCTTGCTTGAGAAAAAACGAAAAGTGCTGAAAATGAAGCTCAACCAAAAGAACTTTCATTAGCAATAGTGCAAGAAAAACTATACAAATCCCGACTAAAAGCATATTTAGAAAAATTAACAGCGTTAGGAACAAGAAAGGTTGGAAGGAACAGCAGAATCAACAATAAAACCCCCAGGTTCAGCCACGAAGTAAAAGAAAAATGCAAAGAAAACCGGAAGGTTTAATGGAACATCAGGCAACAAACATATAACAAAAAATATTTAGAAAAATACAAAATAATTGAAGAAGAAAGTGCGACAAACCGCGAACCATGGAACAACTCAGACAAGAAACAAAATCCTCGAAAAAATTGCGGGTAAAACCTTACTCGCCAAACAAAGAAAAGCCGACATCAGACAAACATGAAAACATCAACCAGTGAGTAAAAAGAAGAAAACAAAATGGGACCAACAAATGAGTAGAATGAACCAGGAAAGAATTGGCGCACAAGGAAACCGAAGAAGGAAGAGGCCTGAGGAGCCTGTAATTGAAGAAGAAAGAAGAAGATGCGAAATGCTACTGGATAGTTTTGAAGACATTCATCCAGAAAAAAGTCATATAAATTGGATCTGCATTCAGTTTTATGGGTGTTTTAATGACGGATTAAAAAAGCTTTGATCCGATTTGATAAATGAGTTATAACTTATTAAGTGATGAGTTATAATTCATCAACTCAGAGAGGGCCAACAAATTTTCTCAAATTTTTCCGAACTTTGGAACTGAACAAATTCTGATTCCTTAGAGCTATTTGGTGTCTGTTTAGAGCATTATTGAACCCTATTTGCTTTCTGCTGGTGGATGTTTTGGTAAAAATCAAGCACCTCAGATTAATCGTCCACAGGGCGGCAAACGAAAAACTTGCAAAATGTCGCAAAGTTCTTCTAGGTGGACAAAAAACAGCTTTCTTGGACATGAACACCAAAAGTTTAAAGATAAACCAAATAGCTCAAATCGGTTTTTTTCATTTTTTTGGCAATCTTCTCTATTTACACGGTGGACTAGAAAAATCAACTTTTTGGTCGTGTAGCAATAATTTTTCTGCTCTTGGTCCGCTTTTCACGATCTAACGCTCATGTTGAAGGTTAAACTTCATAGACAATTTAAGACGAAAATCCGATATACAGGGTTGCACGAAAAATTACCCAAATCAGACTTGGCCTCAAAACCTGTGATTCTGGAAGATTTTCAACTAAGTGAATTTTCCTTTCAAATATTTCGTTTATTTATGCAACCCTCTGTACTGGATTTTCCTGTGTGTTTGATTGTGAAGTTCGATTTAAGCTCTTTAGACTCTCTCTAGAAAAAGTAAATAAACCAGATAAGCGAAAAATTAAAAAACGTTTTTCGATATTTGAGGTCTATCTTAATGCTTAGTGTGGGGTTAATGTGGGGTTGAAATACAAAAAATCCCCTTTCGTTCAACGGAGAAAAGGCCGAACTTTTACCAATTTTACATTGCTTCATTTGCCACCCTGTAGGAAAATTATCTGAAGCATCATCTTTTGCAAAAACACCCGCTAACTGAGAAAGGATTGGACTAAATTAAGCTTCAAACAGAAACCAAATCGCTTGAAGCAGTAAGAATTTATTGAGTTTCAAAACCAGTCCAAATTGCTTCGGGTAACGGCTAGTTTCTCTTGAGTGCTTAATGACGTCAGACAAGGTAGGCCTTGAGCTGTAGACCAGATCAGATTATCATTATTCAAATGCGATGGTTTCTTTATAAATTTTCTGGTCTTTTGCAGATCAGCTATTCCGCATGGAAGGTCCTTCCGCGGGGTTGCCGGTTAACAAATTTCCGTGGCTTTTATTCAAAAAATGGGAGCAAAAATAAATTGCAATTAGGCAAAAGTCATTAAAATACACTTAAAACAGGGCCTATCCTGATGTGCGTAGACATTAATTAGTGATAAATGAAATGTATATTCGCCTCTAAACAATGCAATTGATAAAACGGTATGGCAACGCTGGTAACTTCAAATACACGGCCAAAGATTTTTTAAAATTTTGGAAAAAGTTTTCCATTTTTGTATTTTTCTAATATATTTGAATAACATAGCAGTGTTTCCAATAGACTGGTTTAGGCAAATAATAATTTAAGCAAAAACAAAAAACGAAATTTACAATCTTTTCTACTGAGTACCTAGATACGACTGCCAAAATCGACAAATTTCCCGGCTCTAAACCAATTTTAAAACCCGGCCTTGTATTCCTTTAAAATGAACTTTCTCTTCAAAAATTGATCTTTTCTTCGGCCTTCTACTAGCTTCTAATCTCAACAGACGTAAAATGCGAAAAAAATCATCTAAGCAAAAAAGACTGCTTCAACAAAACACAACTGTTTATCACAAAACGTTTCCTATAGTTTTAAAAACAGCGTTATTTCTAAGACGCTCTAATGAGCAACCCGGTAATCAATATGTAAAAGTGTACACCATCGGCCTTATTAATATTCCCAATTTATTGATGGATTTTTAATTAAAACGGCTTTCGATGCGCAATCCGAGGATTGAAATACTTATTTGGAAGTTGAGCGAAATTAAATTAGGAAACTTTTTCGCCAACGACCAGACGACCAACCGGACCAGCTTAAGTAAATTATCCATGATTTATACGAGCGGGAAGTTTTCCGGTGGAAAAATGGAACGCGTCTTTGGCTCAAGACGTCCACTCAAGTGAATGAATGGGATGGTTTTTGTTCCCGTTTCAGTTCGCTGGAACCGCACTTTTTTCTCCACGAATATTTACTATAAAGAAAAAACTTACTTGAGCCAATGTCGCTTCGTGATGGGCGTATGGCAGCAGATGGCGTCATATTGATCAGCCAGCCACACGATCAGGATCACGTAGAAGGCTGTGGTGGTGTCATTGAAGAATTCCGACATGATGGCTTCGATTCCTGGAAAACAACCACACGCCATTTATCAAGCGTTTACCTTTGAGCCGACGGAATTCAGACACACCACCATTGCAAATGTGCATTATTTGACAACATTAAATATTGTTATTTAACGACTGTTTATATACACAAGCGGCTCGCTTTTGTGCGGACAATCAAATGCACCTGCAAGCCTTTTAATTTATGTTCGAACTGGGCAAAAAGTGGTGAGCAAACATAATATACAATTCAAATTATCGGTCATAAATTTGCTCAATCTCGTGCAAAAGACCACCCCTTTGTTAAAAATATACCACTCGTTATTTGGGGCATAGATTATACGTAGAAACAACGTGTGACCCATTTACATTGGTAGTCATGATACGATTCTAGGCATCTGGTGATTTATCTTTTAAAAAGGCGCGATGCCTGCTTGGTTCCTGTTTGTTTGTAGTATCGCCTAACAGTTCTGGGTAACACTGTGTTGAGTTGTGTTGTGGCCGCTCTCTGCGCTAATGAGTTATAACTCATCGCGTCTCACTCCGCCGCACTTTCAAATGCGCTTAGCATTTAACCGCGGGGCGTATTGGAGGTTTGTCTAGAACCGGGACTGCTATTTTAGCACCTAAAAAGGTCACCAAAAGTTTTTATGCGTAACATTTTCCCAAGTAGACGACTGCAACGCAACTGCACCAGTGAGTTCCTTCTGCATCACTGCGCCAACGCCTGCCTAGGTAACACTGTGCTGCGTGGCACTTTTGTGTTCATGCCGTTGTGTGCGTCACAAAAAGCGTCTAACGGCGTAACACCTTGAGTAATACTTCAGATAGACTTCGGATTGCAAGTTCATGAAAAGCGCGCGCAGAGGAAACAGGAAACATATGGTTTCCCGGTAACCAAAACTAGTTCGTGCTCAAAGTCCTTATCTACTGATGATTTCCTATTTATCTCGATTTGGTATCAGTTCTGTTAGTGCGGAATTTCGAATGGCAAATCCTAAAAAAAAAGGACAATGTTGCCTACACATATTACAAAACAATATTTTTTGAGCACGAAATAATAGCAAATTAAAACTATGTTCTTCTTCTTCTTGCGTCTTTAATGTAGGCAAATTTCCGTGTTTTTCTTCTTATCCTCTGCGATTCAATTATTAGAGATGTGGCCGCTCCAATACTTGCGGGGTCTTCCAACGCCTAGGCGCCCTAAGGGCGACTTGTCTGGTTATTTTGACCATCCTGTCTTCATTCATGCGATCTATGGTTCGTTTCACTCTCTCTTCCTTCTCAGTTCCGCCTTCCATGTTCTTCGAATGTCCTTGCTTCTCCCCGTGTCAAAAAGCGTTTGTCCAGAGCTTCCGGAAGACGCCCATTTTTAAGCCCAATTTACCAACTCGGAAATTCATATTAATCAGGGATTAACGCGATTTGGGCGAAATTTTCAGTATTTTGAGCTTCAACTGCGTTCTATGGACTGTGAAACTTTCACGTGTCTGCTTTCTCCAGATTGGAAATAGTTGGGATTTTTTTAAGAAAAGAGTTCTTTTGTGCGAACACGCCCATTTTCATGCCCACTTTTCCAAGTCGGTAAAAACCAAGGATTAAAGCGATTTGGCCGAAATTTTCATTATGATGAGCTTGAAGCGTATTCTATAGACTGTGAAAGTTTCTAGCGTCTGGTTGATCCAGATTGGAAGTTGGGATTTTTTGACGCAATGAGTGCTTTTGGGCGAAAACGCCCATTTTTATGCTCACTTTTCCAAGTCGGCAAAAGTCAGGGATTAAGGCGATTTGGGCGTATTTGGAGGTTCAAGTGTATTCTATAGATTGTGAAAGTTTCAACCGTCTGGTTGTTCCTGATTGGAAGTTGGGATTTTTTGAAGCAAAGAGTGCTTTTGGGCGAAAACGCCCATTTTTATGCACAATTTTCCAAGTCGGAAAAAAAGGATTAAGGCGATTTGTGCAAAATTTCCAGTATTTTGAGGTTCAACCGCCGTCTATAAACTGTACAACTTTTAAGCGTCTGCTTGCTCCAGATTGGAAGTAGAGATTTTTCATGCAACGAGTGCTTTTGGGCAAAAACGCCCATTTTTATGCCCACAGTCGGCAAAAATCAAGGCGATTTGGGCGAAATTTTCATTATTATGAGCTTCAAGTGTGTTCTCTGGACTGTGAAAGTTTCAACCGTCTGGTTGTTCCTGATTGGAAGTTGGGGTTTTTTGAAGCAAAGAGTGCTTTTGAGCGGAAACGCCGATTTTTATGCACACTTTTCCAAATCGAAAAAAAATAAGGGATTAAGGCGACAACGAGTGCTTTAGGGCAAAAACGCCCATTTTTATGGCCACTTTGAGTCGGCAAAAATCAGGGATTAAGGCGATTTGGGCGAAATTTTCAGTATTTTGAGCTTCAACTGTGTTCTATGGACTGCGAAAGCTTCAAGTGTCTGATAGCCCTTGATTGGAAGTTGGGATTTCTTAAAGCAGAGAGTATTTTTGTGCGACAACGCTCATTTTTATGCCCACTTTACCAACTCGGTAAAAATCAGGGATTAAGGCGATTTGGGCGAAATTTTCAGTATTTTGAGCCTCAGAGGTCTTCTATGGTCTGTGAAAGTTTCAAGCGTTTGCTTGCTTCAGATTGGCTGTTGGGGTTTTTTGAAGCAAAGAGTGTTTTTATGCAAAAACCCCCATTTTTATGCCCACTTTACCAAGTCGGAAAAGATTCAAGTGTCTGCTAGCCCTTGATTGGAAGTTGAGATTTTGAATTTGAAGCAGTGGTGCTTTTGGGCAAAGACGCATTTCTATGCTCACTTTACTAAGTCGGCAATTATCAGGGATTAAGGCGATTTGGGCTAAATTTTCAGTATTTTGAGCCTCAACTGTATTATATGGTCTGTGAAAGTATCAAGCGTTTGCTTGCTTCAGATTGGCAGTTGGTGTTTTTTGAAGCAAAGAGTGCTTTCGGTCGAAAACGTCCGTTTTTATGTCCAATTTACCAAGTCGTCAAAAATAAGGGTTTAAGACGATTTGGGCGAAATTTTCAGTATTTTGAGCTTCATTCTTGAGCTTCACTATCTTCTATAGACTGTGAAAGTTTCAAGCGTCTACTTGCTCCAGATTGGAAGTTGGGATTTTTTTACGCAAAGAGTGCTTTTTTGAGAGTGCAAAACCGCCCATTTGTATGCCCACATTGACAAGTCGGCAAAAATCAAGGATTAAGGCAAAATTTTCATTATGATGAACTTCAAGTGTATTCTATGGACTGTGAAAGTTTCAACCGTCTGGTTGTTCCAGATTGGAACGGGATGGGAATTGGGATGTTTTGAATCAAACAGTACTTTTGGGGGCGAAAACGCCCATTTTTATGCTCACTTTACCAAGTCGGTCTCAATCAGATAGCCGGGAAAATTTACTTAATCATGTTTGCATCCAACCGAACATCGTTTCTTTGCCTTGCTCAGACAAAGCCAATGACAAAATCAAGAAGAATGTCGCGGATTTATGCAGGACAACGGCAAGTTGCTGAAAAGGTTGAACGTTGCCGGTAAACAGCCAGTTTGTACAGAAAGTATTTTTCTTTGGCGGCAGATTGGGAACAAAAGCCAATGAAAGTCCTCGAGACTTAACAATTAGCAGCACCGTGTATAAAATGTCGTTAAAAGTCCCTGTTTTGAGTTTTCGAGAGCCTCAAACAGTTATTTGAGGAAGGCCATTGACAATGGTTGGTGCGTGTTGAGGCAAAAAGGTCTTTGGGGGGTGATTTAATTGTGTGTGTGTTTGGAGCGAGATTATTGAAATTGAAGCGAAAATCCGAGAAAATTATCTGAAGAACTTGGGGAGCATTTAAATGTTAAGCGGGGACGCTGTTGCTCGTCTACCCACCATTTATTTTAATAAGGCCCCTGTTCATTAAGGCCGCCAGCCTGGCAGGCAGCAGCAGCAAAGAGGAGACAAATTTCTGTTTACACAAACAAATTATTCATGGTCCGTCTTTGCCTAATAATTAAAATTAATCTGTATACAGAACGAATAACAATGTGCCGCCTACGACGACGTCCGCGTTAATGTATGCAAAAAAAGCCGGCGAAACGTTTCGTCAGTTAGGTCGAAACCGACGCAAATAAACACTAATTTCATTTAGTTTCGAAGCAGGAACGAACCGACGACTTCTCTGATATTTTTCTCCATTTCCAAATGAATTTATGCATCGTGAAATTGCAAAATGGACGAAGTGGAACTGAATAACTGCAGTTTAAATTGAAACGCGGGGTGGAGAGCTGCGTCTTCTTCCCCTTTGTTTTTAGAGGATTTTCTCACTTTTTTAAATTATAATCGAGCGAATTTAATAATAGAGCTGAGCCCATTTGTCCTAGTTCAGGGGCTACACAGATATAAGTACAGCAAAAAGCAATCAAAACTGATGCTGCAGATTTAGAGTCAAGTTGGAGAGCTGGTGACAAATCTACAAAAGCTCACAATTTATAGAAATTTGGTCAATATTGGAGTTTCTTTTACACTGTACGAAAACTAGAAGCTGCCAGTTCGTCCAGTTTTCGAGTTGGGTTTTTTTTGTCGCCCCACTGCAAGCGGACAGATTTTCCTATTCCAGCCACAAATTTGCGAACTTGTTGAACTTTAACTTCAAAAATCTACAAAAACCGGCATACTAGGTACTAGGTATAATAGATACTTGACCCATTTTTACAGTTAGAATTTCTCTTTCGACCGACCATGTTTTCAAGAATTTCAGCCTGAAGTTTGAGAGATTGTAAAAAATCAAATTAAAGCCACATTCGTTTTAAAATTTGCCATTATGGACAATAAAGGCAATTTCAGAATTGGAATTTTTCTTTCGTCCGGCTGCAGGTCTGACATTCCAGCCACAACTCGCGAAATTGTAAAAATCTTTAACAGCTAGCAAATGAGTCTCAAATTTTAACATAAAACTCACATTTGACTGATTTTTTTTCAATATCAACGCCAGAGGCTCTTTTACACTGTTAAAAAAATTTAGTTCCTGGTTGAC